TGCTTCTCAATGAGGGGGTGGGGGTAGGGTGTTAGGGAGGAAGGGAGAGAATTTGGAACTCAAAATTTTAAAAACTAATGTTAAAGATTGTTTTTATATGTAACTGGGGAAAAATAAAATATTAAACAAAAAAAATTAAAAAAGATAAGTAAAAGTCTAAAGCAAAATCCTCCTTCACACAAGCATACCAGAGGCCCCTACGCCCCCTGCTGGCTCCTTCCTGCCCAGTCCTGAGCCAGGGCTGCTGTCAGCTCTGGCCTCTCATGCACACTGGGACACACTGGGGTCTTGTGTCTCCCCCCCACCCCACCCCACAAGTTGCCAGGTTTTCTTCTGTCCGATACCTGGGAGGGAATGGAGAGGTCACTGCCTGTCTCCCACCCCAGAAGGGCCCTAATCCAAGATGCTCTCCAGCTCAGTTGCTGTTCCCAGGGCTTTTTTTAGGTCTCCTGACACTGGTCCGATACCTACATGTGATCCTCCTGCCTGCTCCAAGCAGGTTTCCTTGAGCCTTCACAGAACACATCTACATTTGGCATGAGGCTAAGCCTCAATGGAGAATTTTGAAGAGTAATCTTATGCTCCCTCAATGAACTTCTCTCCAATCAATTGATACTGTAGCTGGACTCGCTGTTTACTGCTCCCAGCCTCTTACACTCACTTCAGTACCTATATAGACCACCTCTGTTGCCCATTCTCCACTTGCCACTGCCAGAGGCCTCTTCCCACTTCCCTATCGCAGCCTCAGGGGGAACCAACTACACTGTTCTCCAGCCTCATGATTCCCTTGCCCCCTTGTGCTATTTTCCAATCCTGTCAAGCCAACAGTAGATGATTCCCACAAGCCACTTCTTTGCTTTTAATCACTTATTGATCAACAGAGCTATAAGAAATCACAAAGCCATGCTAACTAGACCTTCTAAAAATTTACATTATCTAATTCTGATTGGCCCACTACAAATTTATATTAATTTCACTACAGTAAGGCAAACATTCTATTCCTCACTAACTGATTCACTACCCTATTCTCAGTGGCTATTCCAAACCTTGTCTCTCCTCAAGCCTCCCACAGCATCTCTCCTCTCAGTCAAGGACTCTGCCTCATACTTCACAATAAAATAAAATAAATAAAAAATTAGATCATTTACCAAGAATTCCCTCTTCTCTCCTCTTCATCTCCCATCACTCAAAATTTTCCTTCTACTATCTCCTCCTTCAACTGTGCTCTCTGATGAAGAAATAGCCCTTCTCCTTGCCATGACAAAACTGTCTACAATTGACCTTGATCCCATTCTACCCAGTAAATTGCATACCCTACAACCCCATCACTCACACTCTCTCTGATCTTCAATTTTTTCCTATTTACTTGTTCCTTTTCTGCTGCCTACAAGTTGATCCAACCATCCTGGCTAGTTATCATCCTACAGGTCTCCTTCCCTCCTTCCTACCCCCTCGAGAAAGCATTCTATAGTCAGTGCCTCCACTTCTTCTCCTCTCACTCTCTTCTACACCCTCTCTAGCTTCTGACTTCATTCAACTGAAATGGCCCTCTCCAATTTATCAATGAAACCTTTCATTATTTGGCCTCAACGTACCTTTTCAGCCTCACCTCTCACTACTCCCCGACCTGTAACCAATACTTACAGGCCAACTAGACTACTCTGCACTGGGAAAGAGGCCACATGGAGATCTGCTGATGAAGTTAGCAACTGATGAAGAGAAAATTTTAGGCTGTCAAGTGGGGAGTACAAAACATAGTAGGTGTTTTCAAATACCTGAAAGGTTGCCATGTGAAAGTAGTATGAGCTTGTGGTTTGGTTTCAGAGGAAGAACTAGGAGCAATAAGCAGATATTCATAGGATCATATACAAATAACTGGAAGAGATCTCAGAAGCTAGCTAATCCAAATCCCTTTTACAGATGAGGCAACTAAGTGAGGCTAAGTGATCTTCACAAGGTGACACAGGCACTAAGTGTCAGAGATGGGATTTGAACCCACATCTTCTGACTCTAGGGCCAGTGCAGAGAAGAACAGAACAGATTTGGGCTTGATATAAGAAAAAGTTCTCAATCATTAGAATAGTGCCCCTCCCCCTCAAATCCTTAGAACAAAATAGTCTCTGCCTTAGGAAGCAGTGAGTCTCTTTTCATCAAAGGTCATCAAGAATGAATGACTATCTCTTAATGATTTTACTGAAATAATCTGTTCGGTTACTAGTTGGACTAGATGATTTTTGAGGTCTCTTCCACTCTGAGATTCTGGGAATTTAATTCTCCAAATGCCCTACAGCCTCGCTTCCATGCCTTTGTTCATGCCAGTCCCTCTACCTGGAGGGCACTTTCCTCTCTACCTCTGCCTATCTAACTCCCAATTATCCTTCAAGATCCAGCTTTAAGTGCTACCTCCTCTCTGATGTCTTCCTTTGAAATCTCATCGTACTCTATATTGTTTGCTATATTTTCATACTATACTTTGTATTACAGTATAGTATTTTGTACCTCCTTCACAATTCCTCTACACTTTAATAGCTGACTTAATGAAGGCTATGGCCAAGCTTCTAGTAATATACCTTTCCAAAATTAACTAGACTGGTCTCTGAACAACCATTTGTTGCTTAGCTTTTCCAGCCAAATGAATAAACCTTCCAGAGTTTGCATTTTACTAACATAGCCTTCAAGAATCCACCTTCCTACCACAATGAGAAAACAGGATTTCAGTGGAGGGTTTTATACATAGTAGGAGCTTAATTAATAGTTAATTGTGGTATATGAATGTAACAGAATATTATTATGCTATATGAAATTATGATTATGCAGAATTCAAAGTAGCATGGGAAGACATGAACTGATGCAAAATAAAGTAAATCTAACGAGGAAAATAGTATATACAATGACTACTACAATGTTATAGGAAAAAAAAACAAGAAAAAAGTGAAACTAAACACTATATTTATGATGAACAAGCTTGGTTTTGAAGAAGAGATAATAAGAAAGTGTACCTCCAATTCTTTATTGCAAGAGTGTGGAATATTAAATATATTGTCAGGCTCAACTGAAAAGTTAGTTTTGCTGAACTGCTTTTCTTTTTAATATTTTGTTACAAGGGATGGCTGTCTGGGCAAGGGGCAGGAGAAGAATTTTTTAAAAATTCAAAAAGAAGGTGATATAAAAACAAAATACATCAATAGAATTTAAATCAAGAGTTGTTATTAATGAATGAAAGGAATGTAAGCTGCTAGGTGGCTCAGTGGAGAGTACACTGGACCTAGAGTCTGGAGACCTAAGTTCAAATCCTGCCTCAGATACTTACTAGCTTTGTAATCTCTTAATCTTAAAATTTAAACTTAATCTCTATAATCTTAAACTTAATCTCTGTTAAATTAAGCTCAACAAATATTTACTAAATAGGACATGCTTTCTATATCCTTCACAACCTTTATTGTTACCTCCTCTAGTTTCTATCCTAGTTTATTAATATCCCTCTTAAAATACAGTGTCTAGCACAAAGCAAAATACTCTAGTGTGGTCAAAATCAGGAGAAGAGCAGAAGAGGATAATTATCTCCAGGTTCCAGAAGAGGATAATTATCTCCAGGTTCCAGACACTAATTCTATTAATGCAGCCTACATTTTCTAAAAGTTATCTCACACAACTAATTCACAATCAATTAATCAACATTTATTAAGCACCTAGTATATGCTAAGTACTAGGATATAAAGATAAAAATGAAATAGTCCCTGCCCTCAAGAGTTACAATCTACATACACACACCCCTATATATATAAAATTAATTTAATTAGGGAAGAGAGGGACTAGCAGCTGTAAGGACCAAGAAATGTCTCATGTAAAAGGTGCTGTTAAGAGCTGAGCTTTGAATAAGACAAGACGTTCTAAGAGTCAGACAAGAGAGCAAAACACATTTTAGCTATGAGACCTACACAAAGGCCTGGAGACAGGAGATAGAGTATCGCATGCGGCAGTCTTTTCTCTGTATTAACAAGCTTAACCTACAATGTAATTAAATATAGTTGATTTTCTGAATCTAAGTATAAGTCTTTACATTTATTCCTATGGAATTTTACCTACTGGATGAGGAGTTCTTAATATTTTGTGTCATGGACCACCTTTACAAACCTGATGAAACCTTGGACTGCTTTCTCAGAATAACGCTTTTTAAATATATAAAATACGTGGATTATAAAAGAAATCAATTATATTAAAATAAATATGTATTTTTTGTTTACTGTCTAAATTAATGGACCCTCTGAAATCTACCAAATTCCTTGGGGGTCCATGAAGCCCAGGTTAAGAACACTTGTATTAGACTGATCCTATTTTTCCAACCTATCAATACAGATCTTACTAAATCTTGATTCCATTTCCCAGCATAATAGTCATCTCTTCCATCTTTGTGTTGCTTACAAGTTTCAAAAGAGTGTAGTCTTCATCTATGTCATTGATAAAAAGATTTTTCTTTAGGCTGAGGACTTTCTGTATTTAAGACTGCTCAGCATTTACTATACCACTTCTTTCATCAATCAATATGCAACTGCACATCCATTCAAACAAACACAATAGAATACTATAATTCAACACTTAAATTATAGATTTCTACACTTATTTTATATATTACTAATGATCTGTATGTGTACTATATACGTATGGTACATTACACACAGCTTGTCTGAAAACAGCAATCTGTGAAATAATTAGAATGTTACTGTGTATTATATTAAAAATTCCTTATAGAAAACCTAGAACCAAATGCTGGGAAACAGGAGGAGGAACTGGCAATATTTTAAAACATTCTGTAGGGAGACAGTTGTTTATTTCTTTATATGCCATAAGAGGATCTTCATTCTTAAAACTTACGAAAACAAAGAAAAATAAAAACCAAAAATAACCAACACTACAGACATAAATTTGTAGTAATTTTAAAACATAAGATCATATATACCTAGTCCCTTAAGTACTGTAGCTCTGTCTGTTATTCTACTTACCGTCTGAAGAAAAGCAGGAAATGCTTTCACAGGAACACTCTTCTGGAAGGATCTGGCCTAAAAAAAAAACAAGGAGTGCAAACTGACTTGATGCTGAAATTCCCCTCAATGTAAATAACTCTCAAAGTGAACAAAAAGCTCCAAACCCACACAAAACAAACCTATCAGAGAGTAACATTTCAGAACTGGGAGGGTAGTAACATTTCCTTTGGTTCAACCTATAAGTAATCCAGAAGCCCCCCTAGAACATCTCTAACCAAAACAGTGACAGCATAGCCTTTGCTTAAAGAGCCCTGGGGCTGGGGAACCCACTGCCACTCAAAAGCAACCCATTTTTGGACAACTACAGTTGTCAAGAAGTGTCTTTTTATATTCACACACCTTGTAACTTCTATCCACTTCCTGGTGAAAAAAAGAAAATTAAACTTTTCTGTTAAAGAGATCAATGAATGCTACTAGAGTTAAAAACTTCTACAGCTACAAAACCCAGAGAAAAAGAGGCGATAGTTTCAGGAAACTCCTTTTGGTTCTACAGACTAACTTTGACATTTCTTATGATTTGTCTTCTCTTGGACAAGTAATTTCTCCTCTCAGGCCTCAGTATCCTCATCTTTTAGATAAAAAAGGCTAGACTCTATAATCACTACAAAGACCCTCCCAGCTTTGGTGTCCCATATCCTAATTATAACACAAATTAGAATATGAAAAGTGCACACAAGTCAGAATGTCATACAACATTTAATGAAATGATCGCTTCTACAGGCAGAATCAAGAATGGCTTCATGGAGAAAATGGTGTCTGTGTTAGGCCTTCGGGGTATAAGGAAAATATTTTAACAGAAGAAGCTTCCATTCCACATATGGCAGACGGCATCTGCAAAGACATGTAGGCACAAGAAGGCAGAACAACAGCAGGTGACAGCTCATTGTGCAGTCTGGTCAGGATACAGAGCCAGGTGAGAGACAGCAAGGCATAGTGGAAAGACTGCTAAACTTACAGTCAGAAGATCTGGGTTCAAATCATACCTCAGAATAACTGTGTGACCCTGGCAAACCAATTTACCTCACTGAACCACTGCTTCCCAATTTTACAAATGAGGAAGTGAGATAACACATACAAAATGCCTTGCAAATCTCAAGCACTACATAAATGTCAGCTATTAGGGTAGAAAATTAAGCTAGACTTCAAAAGACTGATGACGAAGCATACCTCTGGCCTCTTGGCAGAGAAATGATGGACCAGATGTGTAAAATGAGACATATGCTTTCTGGCATGTCAATATGTTGATTTATTTTGCTTAATTAACTATATTTATTGATACAAGGAAAATCTTCTAAAAGGAAGGTTACAATGTGGAGCATGAGGTCATGTGTGTATACAAAAAATACACAGAAGAAAACAAAAAAGTTCAGAAAGGGAATATAAATAGGGTAATTTTGTTATAACCTTGCTAAATTTAACATACATGTTTAAAAAATAAAACATATAAAATAACTGTTCATGATTTCATATATAATCTGCATTTTTGTTCTTTGTACATTAGAATATACAATATTCAACTCTGGTGCAGTGGGAGAGAGCCCTGGGCTTTGGAATCAGGAAGGCTCATCTTCTTGAGCTCCAATGAGCCTCAGACACTTACTTGCCGCATAACTGTGGCCAACTCACTTCACCCTGTTTACCTCAGTTCCTCATCTGTAAAATGAGCTGGAGAAGGAAATGACAAACCACTCCAGTATCTTTGCCAAGAAAACCCCAACGAAGAGTTGGACGTGACTAAAAATGACTGAACAATATTGGAATATCTGGTTTTGTTGATGATTAAGTTCATAATTTTTAAAAAAGGAAAGAAAAAAGCAACTGTCGGGCAATGGGATGTATATTTTATGTCTGAGACAATAGAAAGCTACTGAGGGTTTTTGAGCAGAGTGGTAACGTAATCCGACTTATGTATAAATATTATGTTGTGGTAAAAGAAATGCAAACTATCAACAAACATATTTTTTTAAAAATAAGGCTTCCAAATCAATAAGAAAAGAAATGCAAATTAAAACAACTGAGGTTTCCCACTTCACACCCAGCAAATTGGCAAAAAGTAATTAACATAGGATGAGCTATAGGAAAATAGGCACACTAATATATTGTTAGTAGAACTGTGAAACTCTTCAGCTGTTCTGAAATACAATTTGGAATCTTGCTAAAAGAGTCACTAAAGTGTTCAAATCATTTCACCAAATGATCCCACTGCTGGGCATATACTCCAAGTGGGTCAAGAACAGAAAGTCACCAAATACAGCAAAATATTTATAGCATCACTTTTTGTGGCATCAAAAAGCCTGAAATAAAGTGAGGGCCCACTGATTACAGAAGAGCTGAACAAATTACGGCATATTAATGTGATGGAATATTACTACACCATAGAAAATGACAACTTTGAGGAATTCAGAGAAACGAGACGACTTGTATAAAATGAGATAGCGTGATGTCAGGAGAACAAACATACACAATGACTAAAAATGTTTTCTGGTAAAACAGAACAGTAGCCTGAAAAGAACCTATAGAATTAAACAAAAGTTTGTTTGCTTGTTTTCCAAGTCAGGGAAAAACCTCTGCTTGTATCAGGGTTAAAGAAAACAAGTCAGTGGAAAAGGTGCTATTTAAGTGAACTGGCTGTCATTCAGGAATACTACTAACGGATCAAAGCTGTCAAGGAGTCAGGTGGGATGGACTTGGTAGCATGGTTATAGAGAAATTAGCCTCAGAGAGAAAATGACATGTCTTCCCTGAAATAGGATAAATAAGAGGATAAACATAAAGACAGCTACTTTAAGGAAGAGGGGAGGATAGAGAGAATTAATGCTAGCTCTTCTCAATGAAGACTCTCCTCTTGAGAGTAAGGGAAAAGCAGTTAAAACTGGGAGCTTGAAAAGCATGAAGAATAGCTTCCAAAAGGAGCTGTGTGAAGGGCCACTCAACACAAGATGAATCTAAAAAATTCCAAGCAACAGATACCAAAACAACATTCTAGAAAATACTATATCTAGGGATTAAAATGTAGTATATTCATTAGTCCAAAAAAAAGAAACTTACCTGTTTTAAATGAAGATGTCCCTGGCTGGCAACATCATAAATTACATTCCTCACATTTTTATTTTGGTTCTTACGTAAAAAATCTTCTTGTGAAACACCATGCTGTAAAAGAAAACTCAGATTAGGATGTTCTTAATACACTTAAACATAATTTACCAGCTTAAAATAAGCTCCTGGGATAATAGGTGGGTAATTATCCATCATACAACAATAACTTCACTGAACAAGAAGACTACATTAGAAACAAAGGCTTAAGAGAACAGATAGCAGCCATTTCTTTCCCAAAAATTAAAGCTCATTACATTTTTTTTAAACAAAGTAAAATGCTTTTGTTAATTTTAAATGTATTTTTCCCTCTTGACTACTTGCAAGCAGCCTTCAGGAAAAGCTGACCCACTAGAAAGATTTCTCTGACTGCTTGGTGTAAGGGAGACAAGACAGACGGAGAGAACTGTCTTTCTTTACTTCACCACCATCACCAATAATAAATGTCTGATACGATAAAACTATGATTTGAAGATATGTGTGAGATGACATGGAAAGAAGCATGCATTTTTCTTTCAGGCTAAATCAACTGTCTTTGTTGAACATAGAACTAAAGAAAACTCACATTACATTCACATTTAATTCTTATAAATTCTCAGAAGAGAGAAACATTCATCAGTTTGCAATTTATTGTTAGCTCCCCTTTTGGATTTTCTTACCAGCATGCAAATGTCCATGGGAAGAAACACCTTTCGTCTACTAATATGATAGGGCGTTGCTCTCAAACACGTGACAATGCCTTGTGCTTTCCCAATATGACTTGCAGCATGATCTGCATGGAGGTCCCTTATACCTATTTTTTTTTAAATTAGGAACAAAGTTTGTTAGCTTTATTTGCGTGTTATAAGTACAGGTAACGTATATATTTTATGTATGGAAAAAAAAAGACTGAACAGACTCAAAGAATAATCATACAAAAGGGGTAAAGCAGATGATCATTTTACCACATAATGGGTTTCAAAACTGAAACAACTTAATAAGTTTCCTCAGATTACACTACACCAAGAGCACATCTAGGATTTAATCACCTTTTAAGAACTCCATACCAATCTTTCCATTCTCTTCTTTTCAGTATAATTTCCACATGATCTCATTGTAAGGAATATGCTTTGCAAATAAACAATTCTATTCTTTTCATTATTATAGTAAATGCCTCTAGGTGTGTTTTTAAGAGAAAACAGAATAAGAATTTTTATTACTTAGAGTGCCATAATGACAAAGTTTTCTTTAAAAAATAATTATAATACATTGTCTTTGGCCTAAAGAACTTACTAATTATAATAAGAACTCACTAATCTGGAACATAAGGTTAAAGAGAAAAAATCCTGCCTAAATTGATAAGAAAAAAAAAAAGACAAAATGAAGAAATATTTTACGAAATGCTCTTCTGTTACACATAAATGCATGCAAAAACATTATTAACAAGGCACAAAGAGGAGTATAAACCAAATTGTGGGTCTCTGAAAAATCTTATAAAAATACTTTAGTGATTAAGCTGAGATGCAACATATTAGAATAGAGTAAACAGAGTCCAGATGACATGGATTCAACTCATTCCTCTGACAGGTATAGATTTAACTTTTCCATGTTCTAGGCAACTATAACTATAAGTTAGGAATGAGCTGCTGATTCACATTGACAAAAAATTGGTTTTTCCCCTCAAAAAAAGATTAGTTACTAATCATTTATAATGAGCAGATTGCTAACTACAAACAGAAATGATGATGCCAAAGCACTTTTACAAGTGCTTTAATATTTTTGGTCTTAAACTACTGAAAAGGCTATTCTAGCAATTTGTTCAGCAAACCTTTTTCTTGTTTTTTTCTTTTCTTTGCCTTTTGGTGAGGCAATCAGGGTTAAGTGACTTGCCCAGGGTCACACAGCTAGTAAGTGTCATATGTCTGAGGCTGGATTTGAACTCAGGTCCTTCTGACTGCAAGGCCAAACCTTTTTTCTCCACAGATAATACTAAGGCATATACTTTATTACTAATCCTACTAGGATAAATTCTCAACTAAAATAAAACAGGTTTTATTGGAAGGAAATATCAAGACGAAAGTGCACATACCCAATACTTCCAGCATCAAGTAAAGAAGGGAACTTTGTGTGTTTTCAGCATATGTTTCTAGTTCTTGGATGTTTTGATATGCTTTGTCATCCAAATTTTTTTCCTAGAGTCAAACCACAAATATAAACAAAGTTTGCTAAACCATCAGTATTTTGTTTTCATTCTAAGTAGTATTTTTTTATTTTTGACAACGAGGTTGACGCATGCCTTGCCATAGCTAGCTCAGTGTTTGGGAGGCTCCAAAGGAAAGTATGGGAGAGAAGAGAATTAGACTAACAAACTGAAGGTCTACAGAGCCATTGTGCTGGCCTCATTGTTGTATGCCTGTGAAACCTGGACAATATACCAGTGCCATGCCAGGAAACTGAATCACTTCTATTTGAATCGTCTTAGGAAGATTCTGAAGATTGACCTGGCAGGATAAGATACCAGACACTGAGGTCCTTTCTCCAACTAAACTGCCAAGCATTCAAACTCTGCTTCAAAGAGCACAATTCCAAAGGGTTGGCCACGCTGTTCAAATGCAAAACATATGCTTGCCTAAAAAACTATTTTATGGAGAATTCACACAGGGCAAGAGTTCACATGTTGGTCAGAAGAAGCAATACGAGGACATTCTCAAGGTCTCTCTTAAGAACTTGGAATTGATTGTGTGACATGGAAGACACTGACATAGGACCGCCCAGCATGGTGTGCCCTCATCAGAGAAGGTGCTGTGCTCTATGAGCAAAACAGAATTGAAGTAACTCAAAAGAAACGTGAGATGCATAAATTTAGAGGATGCACTCCAAGTGTTCACATGGACTATTTGTGCCTGCCCTGTGGTAGTGCATTCCAAGCTTGTATTGGTATGATCAGCCACAGTTGGACACAATGAAATTTGACTCTAGCATAGTGTGTCACTTTGGTCCTCTTTGAAAACGAAGGATAACAACCAAGTAGTGAACGATAAAGAATAAAAATTCTATTTCACTTACAGCTCAATTCTTAAATAAAAATTTAAAGTTTCCTTCTAGTCAATATCATATACACTTTCCCCCAAAACAATATATGCACAATTATTTCAATGTACAAATCACCATGACAACACAGGGCTTCATTTCTATTTCTTTCTAAAGATCAAGAGATGAAGGAGAGCACAAGTTTTAGGGTTATTTTTTTTTAAGAGGGGAAGAGGAAAAGACGAAAGGGGAACCATAAACATATGAAGAGAAGAGACAGAATTCTAAAAATGATATAAAAAACATAAATGGTTATACTTAAAACACTATCATGTTTAAAGAATACAACATATTTGGAAAACAGAAAACAACAGCCACTGGTAGCTTACAGTAAACACAACCAACTATACCACACATATGCAGAAAATAAAAATACAGACTGAATAAAGCCAGCTCAACTAGTATATATATAAGATACAAGTGTGGGCCTTGTTAAGCTACGTCAGTTAAGTTACTTGGTCAGCAAAAGAACAATTTACACAATAACAACACTGTAAAGAAAATGAACTTTGAAAGACTTAATAACGCTAATCAACGAAATGAGAAACCACAATTCCATAAGATGGATGACAGACTCAAGGTGTAGAATGAAACACATGTTTTTGGACATGGACAATGTAGAAATTTGCTTTGCATGACTATTCTTTATAGCTAGTTAGAAGTGTTTTTAAATTTTTTTTACTGGAGATATATAGTTGAGAGAAGGTCGTTAACAACATCAAGAGAGAAGGGCAGAGGAATGGAAGAGAGAAATAGCACAGCTTTGAAAGTTGTATATTGAATTTATTCTATGCTTAAAGAAAAAAAGAAGCTATATGTAATAGAGTTGCAGTTTTAAATACAATCCTCTTTTTCATTTTTACTCTATATATGAAAATTATATGGCATTTTGTTATGTTCAGAATTTTTAAAAACAATTTAAATGACAAAAGTTACTTGGTTAGTATATGGCACTAATGAAGCCGAGGTTGCAGACCTAATCCCAGAGAAGGTCTAACACAGAAAAAATTCCTAAACCCTATCAAGCATTTCACAAAATGCAAAACACACAAGGACTGGACAAAAACACATGGAAGATTCTGCACAACTTATTACCATATTTGGAAAAAACTTTCCTCCTCGTGTCTAACTGACTCAGAGGATTGTATCTTCTAGTGTTGTTTTCACAAGAAAAGAATACGTTTCCTCAGTAGACATTTGGTAATCAGTAAAACAGGCCTCCTTTGAGACCATTACTGCTTAAGGGAACCACCAGCGGTAGGCCATAAGTTGTTTCTAAGCAAATACCTATGACTTAATAGTACCTATGACAATATAGGAAACATCAAATTAAGAAAAAATCTGAACTGAGTGTCAAAAAAAATCTAAATCTGTTCTTGCCCCTAACAATGATTGTGACCCTGAGCGCTTATTTAATTGTACTTTACTTCAATCATCTTATTTATTATTCAAAAAGGGATAAAAATATCTGAACAAAACCAATCTCATATGGGTATTCAAGAAATTTTTTGAAAGATATATGGGATGTGCTCTGGGCTTCTCAGCAGAAAAGTATACTAATAAAGGCATCATTAGTAATTACTGGAATATTAAAATACAAGTTAAAGGAAAATTACAATTATTTCAAGAATCATATTCTTGCTTTCATAATTTGTCCATCAAAACCATCTTTTTCAATGTAAAAGTTGTTTCTTCAATTAGCTATGTTTTACTTTAAGAAAACTGGATCCACAAAAATCTAGGTTTCCAGAAGTGAGATTCAACAAGCATTTACTAAACATGTACTCTGTACAGGCCACTAAGAATACGAAGGTAAAAACAAAAATCAGTGCTTGATCTGAAGGAACTTTGTTTTCATTTAAATTGAAGATTGCCTTTAAATTGCAAGTCATCCCAAGAGCATTTTAAATAATTCAATTTACATTATTTTTTAGTTATGATACATCAAAAATTATATTTATACAAAGTTTTCAAGTATTAAGAAAAATATATTCAAAGTCATACATGTAGGTAGAGATTATTTCCTGACAGCCAACTGTTAATCTGGCATAGAGTTGGGTAACAAATAGGTCCTTTGTCAGCAACCTGAAAATCTTGAAAAAGAAGGAAAAGTTCAAGATATGATATGGAATATTTTATATAAAGTAAGTTTTATATGTAGGACACACAACTGTAATCAAGTTTTGATCTTTTTTTTCTTTCTTTTTTTTTGGGGGGGGGCAGGCAATGGGGTTAAGTGACTTGCCCAGGGTCACACAGCTAGTTAAGTGTCAAGTGTCTGAGGGCAGATTTGAACTCAGGTCCTCCTGACTCCAAGGCTGGAGCTCTATCCACTGTACCACCTAGCTGCCTCCTTGATCATTTCTAGTTGGTAGATTTGTTTTCTTCCTTTAATTGTCCAGCTTGGCAATATGTTTAGCATAAAATACACAACAAAAATGCAGAATGGACAAAATCTTTTCTATTTTTAGGCAACTGAGGTTAAGTGACTTGCCTAGGGTCACATTGCTAAGTGTCAAGTGTTTGGTCTGAGGCCGCATTTGAACCCAGGTCCTCCTGACTTCAGGGCCGGTGCTCCATCCACCGCGCCACCTAGTTGCCCTCGACAAAATCTTTTCAATCCTTCTTTTGAACCAGGAAGAAGTGGTCCCAGGGTCTGTCACTAGAGGTCCCAGAAAAAAAAATTATTTAAGTGGCAGTTTCTAAGATACTAATTTCAATTCAATTTAATACTCACTTGTTAAACAGCTACTCTGTGCAAATACCTGTTCTAGAGGTAGGAATACAAAGTTGTAAATGATAAAGACCTTGTATTCAAGAAACCTTCATTCTTCTGAAGAGATATAACATGTAAAAAGACAAGCAAAAACAAGATAATCTAAACAGGGAGATTGAATACAAACAACTAGTTAAGAAAAGGCTTCCCATAGAAGCCAGTACCAGCACTAACCCCTGAAGAAAGCTAAGAATACAAAGAGGCAGGGATGAGGAGGGAGGGCATTCCAGGCATCAGAGGACAGGCTGTGCAAATGCATGAAGGCAGAAGATGGAATGTTATAAGAAAGGAGGGATACCAAGTTCAGGGAGTAGCAAGTAATCCAGTCTGACTGGGACCCAGTGAAGAAAAGAGAGTAATATATAGTAAAGCTAGAAAAGGATGCTGGGCTATACTATGAAGGGATTTAAATGTCAAGCACAAAAGTTTCATATTTATCCTAGAGACAATGGAAGTCACTGAAGGTTCTTGAGCTGGGGACATAATCAGATGCATTTTTTTTTCAGTTTAACACTCATCTCATTAATAATATTTTCACTATATGCTACATAAATGCATAATCTACATAAAAGAAAAACAAGTTTCATGGGCACAACAGTTAAAAACAACATGGTGGAAGCAAGATAGCAATCGCTGGAAAGAACCTGGGGCAAAGAGTTTTCACTGCACTCTAAATTAGTGTCTGTAAAAGCTATGATGAGGAGAGATTATCCAGCACGATGAAGCCAGCAAATTTGCATTTATTGCAATCAGATATACTTTTAAGACTATTTTGACAACCATGTGAAGGACACATTGAAAAGGAAATAACTGTTTTGGCAGAGAGATGATCAATCGGGAGGCAACAGTCAAGGTGAAGGGTGATGAGTACCTGAATCAGGGTGACAGAAAGGACAGATATAAGAAATGACACAGTGGCAGAATCAATGAGACATGGTAAACACTGTACATGAGAGAAGAGGTAAAGTAAATAATTGGGGACCTTAATACAAGTAAATGGAAGGATAGGGGTACCCACAAAGAAAGAAAGAAGCTTTGAGGCAGGAGGAAGTTTAAGGCAAAAGAAAATAAGTACCATTGGAATATGTTGAGTATGAGAAGCAATGAGATATTCAGGTAGAGCTGTCCAGCCTGCAACTGATGATGTGAAAAAGGGAGAACAGTGATATGAGTTCAGAAGAAAGATGGGGACTAGATATATGAATCTGGGAATCATCCGCATAGAGATGATATTGAACCAATGGAAGCTGATGAGATCACCAAGAAAGTACATAGACACAGGAAAGATGAAGACCCAGTCCACCCAAGGTTAGGAGCAGAATGTGGAAGATAATCCAGTGAAGGAAGGTCAGATAAACAGAAGAATCAAGAGAAAGCAGTGTCATGAAAGCCACGGAAGAAGAATACTCAGAAGGAGCAAATGGTCAGTACTGTCAAACACTGCAAAGGGATAAGAAAAATCAAGCCTATGAAACTGCTGTATGCTACTACATATATGAAAAGGGACTGTCTTATTTCTGGCTCACAATCCTTCACCTTCAACTGTGTATAAAGTTAGGAAATGTTACACCCAAAAAATTGATTTTTTTTTTTTAGATTTGGTGATAGAGGACTATTCTGTATATTGAATCTGTTACTAGTGCTACAACTATATAGATCTTGCATAATGAACCTCTTACTAGTGCTACAACTGCATATTTGTGAATGGATTTTTTTTCCAGATAAAACTCAATTTAATTTAGTTTTAAATTAGCACAATGAGAAAAAAGGAGACTGAAGAGAAAACCCAGACAATAATGAATCAGAAAATTTAGATATTTTAGCCTAAACTACAGAGCAATTTGGAATCAGAACTGAACCTAAACCCAGTTCCACTGACTCAGCAGAGATGGACTCTATCAACTGTGACTGTTAAACTGCTGCATCTGTGCTTCTATTATATTACTGAACTACAGGCAGAAGCATTACCTTTATGATTAGAAAAGAAATGAAGATTGTGGCATTTTCAACTTACTCTTTCATCAATGATTTTCATAAGCCATCTTTTAGTTAAATTATGTCTCTTGACTGCCTAAAAAAAAAGAGAAACATTTTAAAAATCCTGACAAATTAAAAAACTTGTGAAAATCTGAATGAAATAAATCCAACAAAAACAGTGGTTAAGGGAGCAACATTTGCAACAGTACATTATTAAAGAAACAGCAGTGCTAGAAAAGACAACAGGGAAGAAGAAAACGTCAATGGAAAATATTTCAAAGCATTTCCAAGTGAAGAATTTTCCTAGTACTTTTCCACTAACTGGCTGCTTCCCTGAACTATTTAATAATTTAAATGGTTCAATTACTATTGAAATCCTCCCCCCAAAAAGGCTTTTTTATTTACCTGATGCACCCTGGCTTTGCTGTAGCTGACATTTTAAGGCTATCCTGTTATTAAGTACTTCACTTCTAAAATAATACAGATGGTCTCTGAAGAAAAAACCATTTCCTTAAAAATGAAAATAGCACATCCTAAAGACCCAAAAGAAAAATATGAATTATCTATCACTTCATTTTACCTATAAAAGGAGTTTTAAGTATTTCCTAGCCATAGACTATTTTAATAACTAATCCCTTTTCAAATTACCCCTCTTCTAAACGTACTATAGTCTTTCTTTCCAAACTTGATCTATCCTCACTATAGTCTAAGTGGCTGTCATGGAAGTCAATGTCTCATTGATGCATTCTCATAGTGACTAAGAGAATAGATAAAGCTAAGGCCCTTGGAGCACTCTTGTCTTTATTTAAGGCTCTTAACACTTATAGGTTAATATTTTTCCATAGCCAATAAGAAATTTTAAAAGCTAGACCACAGACCTCTTATTTAAAACAGTCTGATAATGACTTATGCTAAGGAGAAGTGTATGCTGTGAGACAGGCCCCATGCAGCTGCCTCAAACCTAGAGGGAAATGTAGTGCACAGACCACTGGGGCCCAGCAGTTACAAAGATTACAAGAGTCATTTCAAGAGCTCCCACTCTAACCCTACTGTGACAGGAAGAAGAAACCTTTCTAAATGGGTTCAGCTCCTGATGCTCTGGGATTCATCAGCCTAACCCCAAGTTATAATAGCTCTGTTTTCATTTGAAGGAAGTAAACAATAAATATTTTTTTAAAACAAATTTAGAATATAGCAATTACAAATAACTTTGAGAAATTATAGAAAGAGAAATAAACCCTGACTATGCACAATTACCTAAAATGGAAATTTAAATTCATCTACAAATTACCTCCAAAATACATTCAACAGAGGAACCCCTATATGGAATACATATAGCAATTACGTTATAATTGTTGTTCTATTCCTAATTTTACTGTTGAACTATCACCATCACCATTTGACTTGTATAATGTTTTACAGTTTATAGAACACTTTCACAAATATTTCCTCTTTACAACCACCCCGTGAGATAGGTAGGGCAAGTATCTTCCCTATTTTATAGATGAGAAAACCAAGATTACAGCTAGAAAAGCGTCAGGGTGTACCAGATCTTCTGACCTCTAGTCCATAACTGTTTCAATGACAAGGAAGAAATTAAACAATGACAGGAGCAAACTCTGGTATCTAGACAATACATCTTCACTGCTTCTATGCTACACTTTGAAAAAGAATCTGACATTCTATTAAGGAATAATGAAAAGGTTTGGAACAGCTACAAATGAAAATATATAAATTGTACCTAGGCAGTACAACTACTCTGAATGCCAACAATTTCTTCCAGATACTCAGAATAACCTTCAAAATTAGTCACACTGCAAAACTGAAGAAACAAGCATGATCACAGTTTAAGTTGCTCTAAAGAGAACTTGATAAGCCAGCAACTATAAATTGATACAAAGAGTAACATTTTATTTTCTATTTCAGATACACCTTCTAGCTTTCTAAGAAAGGCAGATACAAGAATGATTCACCTCCTAAAGCAAATTCCCATCTCCACTATGTTTTCAGAAAAACTGACAAAGGCTAGAATACCCTGTACAGTAGCTTAAGCATGAGCTAACAAGTATAAGGAGTCTTCTAGAGATTGAAGAGTCAGTGCTCTACTGGGAACTGATTCCAGGGGTGGAGAACCTGCGGCCACATGTAGTCTTCCAGGTCCTTGGGTGCAGCCTTTTGACTGAGTCCAAGTTTTACAGAACAAATCCTTTTATTAAGGGGATTTGTTCTGTGAAGTTTGGATTCAGTCAAAGGGCCACACTTGAGGAACTAGAGGGTCATATGTTGCCTTCGGGCCACAGGTTCCCTACTCCTGGTTTAGGCCAAGTTTCTTAAAAGGAGATAAACAGGGGGGTGAACAACTAATCTAATACCTACAGTTTTCTATTCATTTTTTTCTTCTCAGTCCCCCAGTGTGAGAAGACCTGGGTTTCCACTCCTTAGTGGGAAATCAGCTATGGCTTGCCCTTGACGGTGATTAGACCTAAGGAAATTTGTGCCAACATTGCTTCTATTGTAGAATAGACATCTAGCTCTGGTTACTTTAGTTATAACATTAGAGGTAAGTAATACAAGTCATTGGAATTTCCTTTCTCTTTACATAGCTTGGAAAGGTACTCAACCAGGGGTTCTTGTGTATTAAATGTGTTGTACAAGCAGGTGCTGCTAGTTGGTGCAAGAGATCACTAGGTCTGGAGTCAGACAGATCAGAAAGACCAGAGTTCAAATGTGACCTCAGACTAGCTGTCACTTAACCCCAATTGCCTATTACCCAAAAAAAAAAAAAAAGAGAGAGAGAGAGAAAAGAAAAAGGAAATAGCAAACCACTCCAGCAACTCTGCCAAGTAAACACCATGAACAAGTTCACACGGTCACAAAGAATTAGACACGACTGAACAGCAACAACGACACAGAGGTGGCTCAGTGCAGAAATGTTCGAGAGGCCAGTAATGAACACAGTAAGAGATAGCACGTTATCAACAGAACCTGGATCCAAGAATTTCCTTTGTATGATACCTAGAATTTATCTTTAAATACATAGTTTTTAGTAACTGTGTAAAGTGGCTCCTGTCTCAAATCCATGATGAAAGCAAATTAGTCCTATCATAAATAACTAGTACACATTTCAACATTAAAAAGCTTATAAAAGGGGGGCAGGTAGGTGGCGCAGTGGATCGAGCACCGGCCCTGGACTCAGGAGGACTGAGTTCAAATCCAGCCTCAGACACCTAACACTCACTAGCTGTGTGACCCTGGGCAAATCACTTAATTCCATGGCCCAACCAAAAACAAACAAACAAAAAAACGAACAAAAAAAAAGCTTATAAAAGGCGATAATGAACCATGCGACAAACATTTCCCAGGATTTAAACTCTACAACCAAGCAACTGTAGAGTCACAAAATGTGGAGTTGGAAGGGACCTCAGAGGCCACGTAGCTCAACTCCTCCTTCTAAAAGAATCCCCAATACAGCACACCCAACCAGTAATCATCCAGCCTCTGCGTGGAGACCTTCAGTGGAGGAGGGCTGCAGTGCCTCCCAAAGAAGCTCATTCAACTTCTGGATAACTTCGCTGGGATTTTTTTTTAAGGCAGTTGGGGTTAAGTGACTTGCCCAGGGTCACACAGCTAATAAGTGTCAAGTGTTTGGTCTGAGACTGGATTTGAACTCAGGTCCTCCTGACGTCAGGGCCGGTGCTCTATCCACTGCACCACCTAGCTGCCCCGAAATCATTAAGGCTTTTTTTTTTAAGGCAACTGGGGTTAAGTGACTTACCCAGGGTCACACAGCTAGTAAGTGTCAAGTCTTTGGTCTGAGGCCGGATTTGAACTTAGGTTCTCTTGACTTCAGGGCCGGTGTTCTATCCATTGCGCCACCTATCTGTCTCTGGGATCTTTTTAAAAAAATAATATTAAACATAGATTTGCTGCTTTGCAATTTCCATTATGTTCCAACCTTTGCCTCTAGGGCCAAGCAGAACAGATAATCTCCTTTTATATGACAGCCTTTCAAGTACTCAAAGTCAGCTATCCCAAACCTTCTCTTCTACAGTTTAACGTGCTTGGTTCCTTCAACTGACTTCAGAGGGCGCGTCCTCCTGGACTCAACCTTTCACACTCTGCTGGGAACTTAACCTTTCTCACTCTCCACCAACCTGGACCACAATCCTTCAATAACTTATTTCATCTACTAAGTATGTCTTCCAACAGTTGTTATGCCCAAAAATTTTATCATCCTGCAGTCAGCCTGGTGATGAGCCTCTCTGAACTTAGCCAGTCTGGTCCTCAAACCACAGACAGAGTTCATTGCTAGAACTATATCTGAAGTTGTTCTGGCATGGTAAGACCTGCCAGATTAGTACAGACTTCAAGAACCCAACATTCCCCTCATACCATGATAAACTGAGGAAGCATTTGGAAGACAGTTCTATGGTAGATTTGTGATAGCTTAAAAAAATAACAACCACCCAGGTCTGTGTTAAAATTCCTCGTAGTGAGAAGGATAACAACAGCAGCAGATTTATGTTGTAATACAGTGGATGATTTGAAGCCCTTTGCTACAGTTAAGAGATCTCAAGCTAACAATTGCCTAAAAATTTAATTTATAATAAAGGACTATGAAATAACAGGTAGAAGTCTCTAATACTTTCTTCCAGACAACACTAAAAGAAACAAGAATTTTTTTTTCACCTTCCACAGTTCAATGGCTACTGGCTGATGAGGTGGACTGCCAGAATATATATCTTCCACAGCTTTCTTCCAAAACTGCATTCTCATTTGGCCAATCGTTTTCTGAGAGATTGAGTCTTTAACCTATGAAGAAAGTTTAAAACTTTAATAAATGCACTGTTTATACACATATTTAAGTATGCAGTTGTGGAGGGAATCAGATAATGATTCGGGTCAAAATTAGGATTGCTTCTACACATCTGTTTCTGATTTCACCTAAAACTCATATCAGTTAAATTTTTATCACTTATTAGTCATCTAGAGCCCTTGGCTTGAGATTATTTTGTTTTCTACCAGAAAAATCATTGAAGTCTTTATTTTATAATAGAAACAGTGGGGAGGAAACATGCATTTACCAGCTGCTGGTAAACGCATTTTTAAGTCTAAGTAACAGCCCTAAGGAATGGTACCTGATGCTCTCTAGCAAACTGTATTCCTTGGAACTGTTAGCCTCATTGCTTCCAGGGCACTAGAAAAGAACCTAGCCCACAAGTAAGAGAATGCTAGACTCTGTCCTCCTGCCTTAATTGATTAGAGCAGCAACTGTGGTAGATAACTTTAGCAAAATTACTCTTCAGGAAAATCAGATGGGAATCTATTCAACTGACAGTTTGGTGCAGTTCTCAGGTATATGTGAATATATACCAAGATACCAATAATCAAATGTGTCTGAGGATTGAATATGAAGCCCAGAGATTTATTTATTAACCTGTAAATATGGGCCCATCAATTGGGGAAGGGCTAAACAAGATATGGCATATGAATGTGATGGAATACTACTGTGCTGTAAGAAATGATGAAGGAGAAGGTTTCAGAAAAGCCGGGGGATGACTTTTATGAGCAAAACCAGGAGAACAATTAGAAGAACAATTGTTGCTTACCGTCTCAGGGAGGGAGGAGGTGAGGGAAAGAGACAATTTGGAACTAAAAAAAAATGTTAAAAATTGTCTTTACATGTAACTGGGGGGAAAAACAAAATATTTTTAAAAAGAAGAACAACTGAGCAGAACAGGAAAATAGCAACGTTGTGAGGATAACTTTGAATGACTTAGTAACTCTGATAAAACACAATGATCAACCACTATTCCACAAAGGATTCAGGATTGAGGACAGACTCAGAGTACAAAATGAAGCATGTTTTTTTCTCTTTTTTTTTTTGATAGGGCTAATGGTATTTGTCTTGTATAACTAACTCTACATATTTACAATATGTTTTGTTTTTCTTGCCTTCTCAACAGGTGTGAAGGGAAGGGAGAAGTGATACAATTCCGAATTGAAAATAAAATAAAATTGAATTAAAAATAAAAAACAAAAAGAGAAAAAAACAAGCATTTAAATGTGGGATGACTGAGTATTTCAAATGTCTTAATGGGAGGAAATAGGGATCTCCCAAGAACAAATGATTGGTCTCTCTCTCTCTCTCTCTCTCTCTGACCTCATTAGTTCCTATGGGTTTAATTTACCTCTATTCAGATGACTTGAAGATTTAGCTGCCCATTTCTAGTCTCTCTCTTGAAATGGAGTCCCATATCACCAACTGCTTATTTTACATTTCAAACTGGATGTCCTACAGGCATCTTAAATTCAATGTCTAAAACAACTTTTCTTTCCCCCTGAATTTATCTATCACTTCCTCCATCAAATTTCCCCATTCCTGTCAAGGGTACTACCATCTTTCAAGACACCCTTGGTGTCATCTTCATCTTCTCCTTCACCCCACAAATCTAATCAGTTGCCAAACAATTTCATTTCTACTTCCACAACTTCTCTTACATCCATTTACTTCTCTCCACTCACACATCTACCATATTAATTCAGGCCCTAATCGCCTCTGGCCTGGACTACTCTAAAAGCCTTCTAATAGGTGTCTCTGTCTCGAGTCTCCCCTTTCTCCAATCCAGCCTCCACATAGTTGCCAATGTGATTTTCTAAGTGCAGATCTGACCATATCACTCATAGCTCAAACTCTAGCAGCTCTCTATTAACTTTAAAATCAAAAGCAAACTGTTTTTGGCGTTCAAAGACAACAACCTTGCTCCCACCAATGTTTACAGATTTCTTATACGTTACTCCCCTTCATGTACTCTTTGATCTAGAAAAATTGGCCTTTTTCTTCCTCAATCACAACACTATCTTCCATCTCTTTGACTTTGTACTGGCTATCCAAAACATCTGAAATACGTTCCATCCTCACCTCTATGTCTCCCATAAGTATTTTATATTTATTTGGTACGTTTGTGTTACTTGCCTAATAAGTTGTAATCTCCTTAAAGGTAGGGACTGTTTCATTTTTGTCTCTGTACCAGCAGCACCAAGTACAATGCCTGGCACAAAGTAGGTACTTAATAAATACTTACAGACTGATGGCCAAGACAGGTGAAAATAGAAAGCAAGATTTCTAGAATAGCCTAAGAGATACCAGCTAAATTTGTCAGGTGGGCAGCTATTCAGGAAGCAATCTGGACCAGAAACCAAATGGATTAATTTAGGTCCCAAAAGAAAAGGATAATAGAGGGAGGGGAAGGGAACAAGCATTTCTATAAGATTCTATAAGATTCAGCAAATTACCATGTAACATCACACCATAGTGAGAAGACGTTATGTTGGAAGGGAAGTTATTCATTCATAGGCAGCTATTTATTTGCAGTTGAGCATATTAGCCCTTGTCTTATGTACTGTGTGCCAGGCACTGAGCTAAGCACTTTACAAATATTATCTCTTATTTGATCCTCACAACAACCCTGGGAGGTAGGTGCTATTATTATCCACATCATTTTACAGTTGAGGAAACAGAGGCAAAGAAAGGTTAAGAGATTTGCCCAGGGTCATACAGATGGTAACTATCTGAGGCTGGATTTGAACTCCAGTCTTCCTGATTCTAGGTCCAGCACTCTATCGGTCACACAGCTGCCTTCAGATAATCCTCTGTAGTTCAAACAGGGACTAAAGCAAATGGTTCAGTCTTGAACCGGAGGGTGATTGCAAGATAGTGAGGAATAGCATTTCAAGGAGCTGGGCCTATAAGGAAGGGTCTGTGGATTAAATAACAATGATTAAAGAGGGCCTAAAGAAGACTGTTCAACGGTTTAAACCCATAACACCACATCTGTAATTTATCAGTTATCCTATAGCTTATTCCTACATATCCTCTTACATGGTAATAGTTCTGTTGTAGACTTTAATACACTATGTGTACTGGACTATAGCTGTAAAGTAAAAGTTAAAAAAATAAAAAATAAAAAGCTGTCCAAGGCAGAGAACCTACCCCCTTCACTTTATGTCTTTAAGTTGCAACAACAAAACCTTATCTGAACTAAGCAGCAACAAAAAGGGGGAACCAGCTGGACAATCCTGCAATCTATTTTGGGTACAACTCATCCCTTGGTTGTAGCAGATTAAGTCTTCCTATCAGATCTTGAGAATCCAAAAGTCTAGTCAGAACAATATTTCATCTTTGCCTGTGGCACCAATGGGACACTAGAGGGACAACCTAAGAATTGTATTCCTGAATATCCGTCCCTGAGATATCCCTAGCTTTTCTAATCTACATCCATTTCTAATGCTAGGGTGACTACAAACTTTGTGGGAATAGAAAAGAAAGGACAAGAAGGGCTAGGACACATTCTGAGGAATGCAAAGGATAATATGTTAAAATAAATATCAAGTTCTAAGACTTAAGTACTACAGCCAGGGCACGGTCAAAGAAAAATTTAAGTAATACTTTAGTGTATACAAACAAAATTCTCCCCAAAATGCTTATCCCAGGTCAGAGTCTACTTAGCACCTGAATGAAACAAAGATCTCTTTTTCATAAATTCAGAGACACTATTAGCAAATAATTAACATTTGGCATTATGTGTCATTTAAAACTGGAAAAAAAAAACAACCCTACTCATTTCAATTGCTTAGGACAAGGACTAAAATGCTCAACGGCAAATAAATAGCTACCTATAAATGATAACTTCCCTTCCAATATAACGTCTCCTCACTATGGTGTGGTGTTACATGGTAATCTGCTAAATCTTGGTAGGCAGGCTGCTCTCCCTATAGCTTCCCATTTTTACTATGTTTCTTTACATCAGTCACTACAGCCTCACGGTCAGGGATGCATAGCATAAAGTTCCACTGAATTAATAATCCTGGTTAAAACTGCAAATAGTTATTGGCATGTTAAAAGCTTTTTACCACACAATCTGGGGAACAACCACAAAAGCAACATCACAGGATAAAAACAGGTCTTTAGCTAAGCTCATTTTATTGTATTCTTTCTTATTTTCAAACAATTCCTCAGCACTATTCCCAAGATGAAAGGAAGTGTGGTATAGTGGATACAGGTCTTACCCTAGAGCCAGAAAGACTTGGGTTCAAATCCTACCTCAGACACATATCAGCTGCATGATCCTGGGCAAGTCACTGGACTTCTCAAAGCCTTAGACAACTCTCCTAGACTATAAAAGCACAGAATTAGCATTTAGAATAGCAGAAGAAGCTTCTTCACCAGAAGCTCCAGAAACTGCTAAAATCACAGGTCTGGGAAAAAAAGAAATTCCAGGTCATATGCCTGACAGGAACTATGAGAGCAAGCAGATCCCAGATAGACACTTGCCAGGCTACAAATCACTTATTTCTAAAACATCTCCATCAACCACTAGTAACACTGTCTTGCTAAACTGAATGATTAGAAATAAATTAGCAGCTAGGTGGTGCAGAGAACAGAGCACAGGCCTGGAGTCAGGACGACCTGAGTTCAAATCCAACCTCAGACTATTTCTGTGTGACCCAGGGCAAGTCATTTAACTTCTGTTTGCCTCACTTTCCTCATCTGTAGAACAGGAATAATACCACTTACCTCCCAGGATTATTGTGACAATCAAATGAGATAATTATTTTAAAGTGTTTAGCACAGCTCCTAGCACATAGAAAATACTATAAAAATGCTAGATATTATCCTTGTAATTATTATTGTTGTGACACCTAAGAAAAGTTCATTAGTAACTTTCATAATTTTAACAATTTACTGGCAAACACATCACTTGGGAGAATAAACAAATACTGATAAAGCGACTTTGGGTTTTCATCATTAGGCTCATTAGCTTTCTAGTCTATCTTTCTTTCACATTTAACTTGAATGAATATTTTTATAAGTAATGAAAACTGATTTATCTCCCCTTTAGTTCACACCAAGTTAGGAAATAAGCACTAAGCAATTCCTAAACCAAACTTTAAACTGGTTTACTATCTTGGAATTATTGCTGGTTTATGTGAAAAGTGAATTGAAGAACTAAAATTATCATCTAGATTATTCAATTCTCTAAGCTTAGGCAAAATTAAATCCGGTAAGTACCTGAGCACCTATTATGTACTTGGACCCAGCTACTGTTAAACATTCTGGGAATTACAAACAAGCATAAACATAGCAAAGTAAAATAAAGGTTGTATGGCCTAGGAGAGAAAGTGAGGGACCTAAAATGGGGAAATCCCACTTCTTTGAAACTTTCTGTATCACCCCATATTCAAAGTCCTTCACAACCCAGGCCTCTTCTACCTTTCCTGTCTTCTTATACCTTACTCCCTGACGTGGATTCTTTGATCTGGTAATACTGGCCTCTTGGCCATTCCATGAACAATACTCCATCTCACAGCTATGGGAATTTTCGCTGACTGTCCCCCGTTCCTGGAATGCTCTCTCCTCAACTCTGCCTACTAAATTCCCTAGCTTCCTTTAAGTCCCAACTAAAACCCCTTCTTACACTGAAAGCCTTCCCCAAACCCTCTTAATTCTAGTACCTTCCTTCTGTTAATTACTTCCTGTTTTCTGTATATATTTGTTTGAAAGTTGTCTCTCATGATAAATGTTGGAGAAGACGTGGGAAAATCAGAACACTAATGCATTGTTGGTGGAGTTGTGAAATGATCCAACCATTCTGGAGAGCAATTTGGAACTATGCCCAAAGGGCTATAGAAATGTGCATAGCCTTTGACCCAGCAATAGCACTTCTAGGGCTGTATCCCAAATAGATCATAAAAATGGAAAAAGACCCACATGTATAAAAATATTTATAGCAGCTCTTTCTGTGGTGGCAAAGAACTGGAAATTGAGGGGATGCCCATCAATTGGGGAATGACTGAACAAGATGTGGTATATGAATGTAATGGAATACTATTGTACTATAAGAAATGAGGAGCAGGCAGACTTCAGAAAAACCTAGAAAGACTTGTATGGACTGATGCTGAATGAAGTGAGCAGAACCAGGAGAATACTACACACAGTAATAGCCACTTTGTGTGATGACTAACTTTGACAAACTTAGCCCTTCTCAGCAATGCAAGGATCTAAAATGTCTTCAAAAGTCTCACGATGGAAAATTCTATCCACATCCAAAGAAAGAACTATGGAGTTTGAATGTAGATCAAAGTATACCATTTGCCATTTTTTTCTTCTGTTTTGTTTTGTTTCCTCTTTCTTGTGGTTCTTCCTATTAGTTCTAATTCTTCCTTACAACATGACTAATGTGAAAATTAAAAAAAAAACAAAGTTGTCTCCCTCCACTCAATTGTAAGCTCCTTGAGGGAAGGGACTATCTTTTGCTTTTCTTGTATCCCCAGGACTTGGCATAATATCTGGCATATAGTAGGTGCTTAAATGTTGACTGACTGATTAATTTATTCAACAGAAATTTATTGGGTCCCTAATATCTGCAAGGTGCAATGAATGCTATAAAAGTGTTATGAAATATCTTCAAAGAGCTTACAACAGAATTAGATATGTAATAATAAGAAGCAAAATATGATTAATTGGCAAGATTAAGCTGACACTGACAATAAATAATAAGTATTCTAAGTGTTCAAAAAAGAAAAATTAATGTTAGCTAGTGTGGTCACAAGAAGCTTTAAAATTGTGCTGCAAGAAATAATAAAAGGGGTGGTTTCAGAAAAATCTGGGAAGACTTACATGGGCAGAACTAGGAGAACACTGTAATTGGTAACAGCAATACTGTAACAGTAATCAACTGTGAAAGACTTAGCTACTCTAATCAATAACAATAATACACAACCATTCCAAAAGACTCATGAGGAAAAATACTGCCCACCTCCAGAGGGAAAATGGGTGAATTCTGAGCACAGAGTAACATATGTATTCTTTCACTTTATTTTTCTTGCTTTTTTTGCAACATGGCTAAAGTGGAAATACTTTTTACATGACTTTATATGTATAATGGATATCGTATTTCTTGCCTTCTCAATAGGTGAAGGAGGGAGAGAATTTGGAACTGAAAATAAAAATAAAAAGGTCACTGATATTAAAAAAAAAAGCAGCAGCTTTAATAGAAATAAACCCACCTAGGCTTTGAAGAACCGAAATAATCTGAATAGGCATAAAAGAAAAAGGACAGCATTCTACATAGGGAAAATAACATGGAAAAATACAGAAAGAGTAATATTGTAGGGCCTGAATTATCTATCTAGATCACTGGTATCAAACTCAAACAGAAATGAGAGCCATTAAATGAGACATAAGGATCCCTGGAGGCTGCATATTGACTTGATTTTAAAAAGTAATATTATTTATTTTTTATATTTTTATTTATTGTTAAATATTTCCCAATTACATTTTATCTGGGCTGCACTACGGGCTGCTGGCCTGCATATCTGACAACTCTGACGTAGAGAATGGCCTCCAATGTTCCCTTTACATGCAGAGATACAACCTTAACTGAGACAATAAGTTTGAAAGTGCTTTGGAAATTCAAAAGTGCTATATAAATAAAAGGGACTAATTAGGCAACTGTTTCATAAAACTCAACAATTACATACTAATTTTTTATTATACAAACAATAGACAAGTAGACCATAATATCTCTCTGGTTTTTCTATTATTTTTCACCTTTTAATCTTTGAAAAAATAACTAAAAGCCCCAAACTGAATGTACAGAACTGGAAGTTTACCAATTAAAATTCGAGATGGGTTCTTAAAACTAATTTTACTTCTATATTTAGCATCTAAGTAATTTAAAATAATATTTATCCAGAAAAACAAACTTTCTAAGATGTCACAGAAACAGTAACTATTAATTATTTCATATTTAACTAATTTTCTTTACTATACAGACTTTAACCTTAAACTCAAACATTAACATTTTCAGCTGACTATTTTAATTATTTTAATACCAGCCTGAGCCAGTTCCACATTGAAGGCTCTCAATGCAAAAGCAGAGCTTCGGGCTTCTGCAGGCAGTAACAGGCAACATAAATATCCTTCATAGTCTCGTTTCCTACAAACAAACAAAAACAAACAAAAAGTTATTAGTTGCATTTTAAATTCTGTATAAAAATACATTTGGCCTGTTAATTTATAAACAGCAAACTTCCAATTCTGAATAGGCTTGAAGGTCAAGATCAGCATGAAAAGAAGTTTTACTTTTTAATTCAGACACAAATTAGCTATCTTACAATCTTTTTTAAAAAACTGCTGTACCGAAGTTTCTTATTTTACTGCCTCTCAAGGCCAAATACAGAGAAACTATACCATAGGATACTTTCTGAGGGGATGTGGCCAACTTTTCAAAACATTAAGAAAAAATTGTCAGGAGAATAGTACAAGTGTTTTTTGTTTTTGTTTTAATAGCCAGATATTTTACAATTTAAAAAAATACATAACCCCGAAAAATGATGAGGCCCATTTTTTTAAAAAATGGCAGCTAGGTGGTACAGTGGATAGAGTGTTGGGCCTGGATTCAGGAAAACCCATCTTCTTGAGTTCAAATCTGGTCTCAGACACTTACTAGTTGTGTGACCCTGGCTAAGTCACTTAACCCTGCTTTCCTCAGTTTCCTCATCTGTAAAATGAGCTAGAGAAGAAAATGGCAAATCACTCCAATACCTCTGCCAAGAAAACCTCAAACAGGGTCACAAAGAGCTGAACATAACTGAAAAGCAACTAAACAACAACAAAGTTTTAAAAATAATAAACTACTCAACATATATTGATTTGTCCTAACAATACAATGTCTACAATTTAAATTCTTTCAGAACTACTGTTGCTTTAAATAGTCATATAGATACAGATATAGAAATCAAATTACAAAAATAATATGCTACAGTGTTCTTAAAGCAATTTACACACTATGAATTTTTTTTTAAATTTCAAGAAAAAAAAATGATGAAATATTCTATGGACTTGGGGGCAGGGGGTTAGTAATCTTTGTCCAATTCTGGAACCTTCTTTTGGAATTACGACTTTAAAAGTTTTCATTGACAGTATTTTTACCATGTCGCAAACAAGGGATCTAAAACAGCCATGTGGCTTCTGCCACTAGGGGGCACCTAGAAATTAAAAACCAAAATGGCCAAGTAAAATACATCAAAATGTTATACAGATAAGAATCAGGCCAGCTGCTTTTCTCTTGTGGAATCTAACTTGCCCTCAGTTCCAAAAATATTTCTGGGTTGTTTTCTAAAATAAAGAGTCTTATTTGATTACAACTATCTAAACCAAAATAACTTTTATGCTTTATAAGGTACAACACGTCCCCAGGATTTGAAAAGTTATTTTCAGGACTGGTTTATATCTTCATCCCTGCTAAGACAGGGCATAGGGAGGGTATACATGTAAAATCACAATTTGCTGGGCTCATTCTCATTCCAAATATGTCATTTCAGGAAGTTCATAGGACATAAATAAAAACTTCCCCCTGGCCAGTGAATTCAACAGATATTTTAAAGCTTCTGGTTGCTAATAAAAATACATGTTTTTGCTCAGAATCCCCATTTCATTTGTACAAACAAAAATCAGCTCATATCTCTGGAAATCTTTTTCTGCTTTTTGATATAAGCTAATTATTGTTTCCCAAGAGTACTTATATTTCATACCACAGTCACGTGCATATGCCCTTCCACAATATAGAACAAATAACTACAAGAGCACTAGTCATATTGTATGGCTTCATGCTTTTTCTTTCTTCTACTATTTTCTTTAATGTGATATAATTATAACAGAAGGCTAGAAAAGGTGAGTCTTACAAACAGTAAAGGACTTTTTCCCCTTTTATTTCACTCATTATTCTAACACCGTTAATATTTAAGACATCCAATATGCAGCAAGAAACAATTTACAATAAAGTAAAAACTATATTCATTTAAATTGAATCTGCTGGGTACCACCAACCATAAGTTATCTGTGGAAGACCAATCTCAAAATATTCCTTTTTCTTGAAGTTTTCTATTTCCCTTGACTTTTGTTTAACTCACTTAGCACAATGTCACAAGCAGGGAATGATTTAATGCTTAATGACAGGGTTTTGTTCATAGTTTAAACAACCTAATTTCTTGGTTAAGAACACAAATTCCATATAGTCTTAGTACAGAAAGGTTAATGTAATGATTGCTTTTGCAAAATGTTAACTACTGTCCTCGTAAAAAAAAAAGCCTTTTATTTGGGGAATAAAAAAGTGTGTGTGTGTGTGTGTGTGTGTGTGTGTGTGTGTGTGCACGTGCTTGTTTAGGGAGAGGAAGGGAAGGAGGGACAGAAAGAAACAGAGAGGGAGGGAGAACTTACACATACGTGTTGTACCCTAAATGCCTTCAGTGATCTCTTCCTCTCCAAATTTCTTACAGAATATTTCCTGAATAGTTTTGTTCCTTTGTTCTTAATTCATCTTTGTGTAGGACTTAGTTTCCAATCTGATCACAAGCTCCTAGAGAGCAAAGGTTGTTTTTCATCTTTTTGTCCTCTGTGAATAATACCCTGTAGCCATTTAATACATATTTGTTCAATCAATCAGCAAACATTTGTTAATCCACCTACTACATGTCAGACACTGTGCAGTGGGGATACAAATAGAAAGTATCAAACAACTCCTGCTCCCAAAGAGCTTTTGAATTGAATCGAACTGATTCAAGGGAACTATGTTCTCAGTTTATGGGCTTTTCTTCTTATGACATTCTAAAAATTTCCTGATCTCTAAGCCCCAATTTGAAGCGGTCCCTTACACAGGCCCTGGGGATAATGGGCTCATACTTCTAAATTTCAAAAATGTTTAAAGCACTTGAGAGGCAGAATGACCTGGGAAAAAAATATATTGTCCCAGGGGAAAAAAGACTGAAATCTTGCCCCCAGCTTGGCTGATCACACAGGTCTTTGTTTTATTTACCAAATGAGAACTGTTCTCTTGCTCTCCAGAAGGTTAATGATACATGTGAAGCACTTCAAGTTTCTCAAAAGAAAACAATGCATGAATTCATGTCATTGCTATACTACTGTAGTGATAATCTTTGACACATTTTAAGTGTGAATCCGTCCAAAGATGTACAGCATTTGACTGAAGATCAAATGGTCTCTGCTTCAAATCTAGTAACCATCTTCAGCCACCTCAACTTTTTAGTCACTCAAGTTACTCTAGGAATTTCAATCCCCTTCTCTTCTCAATCTCATCCCAGCAAACCTGCTGGGTGACCAAAGATAGAAACAAGTGGCTGCTCCCGGCCTCCATTAAGGCTTCCCTCAGCCATTTAAAGCTAACTGAATGAAATTTCTAGCAAATTCCAACTTCTCCATGCCACGTTAAAGTAGTCTCTTCTCCTCCTCTCTTAGAGCCAATGTTGCCTTGATTTGCTGGGCCATTCTTTCACTATGAGCTCTAGAGATCCCAGTTCATCTCAAAAGCTCAAAGATGCCCAGATGTTCCCCTTCATTCTTATGTAATAGGGATAGAATGCACTCCTATGGAACATTCTTGAACTTGACCTGGGATCTTAAACACTTTTAGTGACACAGGCTTAGTGCTAAGAGACTGTGATGACACACATAACAATTCTGTGACAGCAGTTGGGAGGCGGCTTTGTCAAAGAGGATTGACCACTGAACCAGGAAGAACCACTCAGAAAACTTTAAGGAGTGACAAGATCCCCTCTCTATCTCTTCTCTCCAGAAAGTGTGGCATGAAACTTTCTCTGGGACTTCTTGGGAGGAGGGAAGGTGGGAAATGTAGCTGTAATGGCTGCTTGCACATGGCAGAGTACATTTCACTTAACTCCAAGTTAATGGGTATAACTCTACCTTCACTACTTTTTTTAAAAGCTTTACTTAAACCCATCACTCCTTCAGCCTAGCATCTACATTTCTCTTTCTCATCACAACCAAACTCCTAGAAATTGTCATCTGTGCTCTTTGCTTTTCCTTACTCCCTCTCCTCCCACTTAATTCTCAAACTCTTGAATTCTGGTTTTAGATCTCACCCTTCAGGAAAATTATCTCGACAATGTTACCAGCAATCTTAACTGCTCCATCCTTCTTAACCTCTCCATACCATGTGACCCTCCTGATTATCCTCTCCTTCTACCAGGGGCGAACAATCTTTGGCCTCAAGGCTGCAGGTTCCCCACCCCTGGGACACTCTCTTCTCTCTTGGCTTTCATGAAGCTGCTCTCTCCTGTCAGAACTTGTCAACCTTTCCTGGTAGATCATCATTCATGTCTCATCTCCTAACTCAGAGCTCTGTCTTGGTTATTCTTCTCTTTTCTTTCTACTCCCTCTTGTTGCTGCCAGCTCCCATGTGCTCAATTATCATCTATATACCTAGTCCGAGCCTCTCTCTTAAGCTTAATTCTCACATCACTAGCTACCTCCTGGATATCCTATAGGCATCTCAAACTCAACATGTCCAAAAAGAACTCTAGGTCTTCTGTAAAACCCATCCCCTCCTCCAAACTTGACTTGATTTCTGTTAAAGGTATCATAACATTTCTACTCTTGAAAGTTCTCAACCTCCTTTCCCTCTCCCTTCATTCCAATATTCAATGATCTGACAAGTCTTGTTGATTCTACCTTACAACATCTCTTTCATTAGTTCTCTTCCCTCTACTTATGTTGCCACTACCTTATTTTAGGCTCTCATCACATATGACCTAGACAGCATGACAGAGTGAAAATAGTGATAAACACAGAGTCAGGAAAACCTGGATTTGGATACCATCCCAGACATACTAGCTATGTGACCACTGGCAAGCTGCTTAACCCTTCTTGGCCTCAGTTTCCTTATCTGTAAAATAAGGAGACTCAATAATCTCCAAAATCCATTCCAGTTCAAATCTATGATTGTATGGTCTATGATCCTGTGACTATTAAGGCAGTCTCCTAATTGGACTCCTCCCTTCCTTATCCTACACACAGCTGCAAAAATAATCTTCTTAAAGCACAATACTAGGTCAGTCTCCTGATGAAAGATAAAATATAATTCCTTAGCTTGGAATTTAAAGCCCTTCAGAATTTGGCTCC